GCTTACCTTTCTCTATCTTAGTCAATGGCACCAACCAACCATTCACTCAGTTACTCAAGCCAACACTCTCTGGAGTCACTGAATGCTTTTTCTTATGAGATAAACATACTTCTAACAGCCACATTACGTTTCCCCTTCTTCCATCCTTCTAAGCCATGTTTGATCTTATCTGGACCATTGTAACAGACTCCTGATGAATTCCCGTGTTCTCATTCTTTCTCTTCTACCTACAATCAGTTCGTCATATGGCAGGCAGAACAAATGAAATTATAAAATTTTCAGTTTGAAACCATCCAAAGAAGTCAGGCACAGTGGTGTGGCCCTGTAGCCTCAGCTACTCAGGAGGTTAATATGGAAGGATTGCTTGAGCCCAGGAGTTAGAGGCTAGCCTGAACAACATAGCAAAACCCCCACCTCTAAAAAAAAAGTAAAAACCAAAACAAACCCAACCAAAAACCCCCCAATAACAACAACTAAAAACATTGAAAAGCTTTCCACTATACCCCCTGGTTTACAAAGCCCTACACAGTTGTCTCTTGGTATCTGTGGAAGACTGGGTCCAGGATGTCCCAAGGATACTAAATCCCATGCATGCTCAAGCCCCTGATATATAATGGCATATTTGTATATAACCCATGCCTGACTTCCTGTATACTTCAAATCATCTCTAGATTACTTATAATACCTAACACAATGTTAATGCAATATAAACTGTTATACTGTATTGTTTAGGGCAGGCGTCCCCAAACTACAGCCCGTGGGCTGCATGCGGCCCTCTGAGGCCATTTATCCGGCCCCCCACCGCATTTCAGGAAGGGGTACCTCTTTCATTGGTGGTCAGTGAGAGGAGCACAGTATGTGGCGGCCCTCCAACGGTCTGAGGGACAGTGAACTGGCCCTCTGTGTAAAAAGTCTGGGGACGCCTGGTTTAGGGAATAATAATAAGGAAAAAAGTTTGTAGATGTTCAGTACAGATACAGATACAATAGTCTTTAAAAAATATTTTTGATCCATGTTTGGCTGAATCCACTGATGCAAAATTCATGGATATAGAGGACCAACTGTAAATAATCTGACCTCACCTGGCTCTCTAATTTTATCTTATACAATTTTTCCTACCCTTCACTATACTCCAGACACACTAGTATTGTTTCTCAAAACGACCATTTCATTTTCTTCTAGGGTCTTTGGGCTAGCTGTTTCTTTTGTCTGGAATGCTCTTTCCACTGATTTTCACCTATTAAGAAGCTTCTTGGCATTACCATGCAACTTACATGTTACCTCATCTGCAAAACCTTCCACAAACATCATTTTTTCATTAGAAATATTTTCACAAAGCACCTACTACATGCCAACATTGTTCTATATACTGGGAGAAAAGTACCCAACCTCATTAACAATCAGGGAAATGCATATTAAAACTATAATGAGAAATCTCTTTATAGTCACAGAATGGCTAAAATAAAAAAGACCGACAATTCCACATGTTAATGAGGATGCAGAACAGTAAGAACTTTCTTCACTGTTTATAGACAGTATAAACTGGCATAAATCACTAAAGCAATGTTCTTAACAGACCAAATGCGAAATAATGCAAATGTTCATCAACACATTATGGTATATTTATACAAAGGAAAATGTACAGCGATGAAAATGAACAACATACAGCTACACTTTAAAATGACACAGTAAAATCTCACAAACAATGTTGAGCAAAAGCAGCAAGACACAAAAGCCTTCTTTTGTGTCATACTGCAGGCTGGGCACGGTGGCTGGTGCCTGTAATCCCAGCACTTTGGGAGGCCAAGGTGGGCGGATCACCTGAGGTCGAGAGTTCGAGACCAATCTGACCAACAAGGAGAAACCCCATCTCTACTAAAAATACAAAAATTGGCCAGGCGTGGTAGTGCATGCCTGTAATCCCAGCTACTCAGGAGGCTGAGGCAAAAGAATCGCATGAACCTGGGAGGCGGAAGCTGCAGTGAGCCGAGATCGCACCATGGCACTCTAGCCTGGACAACAAGAATGAGACTTGTCTCAAAAAAAACAAAAAACAAAAAAGAATACATACTGCAAAAAGCCATTTATATAAAGTTCAAAAACTTAAACTACTGTATTAGAAGTCTCAGATCATGGTTACCTTTGAGGAGAAGGGAGAGGACAGGGGTTGAAAGAGTATAAAAAGGGCTTTGGGTCTATTTCTTGGACGTGGGTAGTACCTACATGAGTATGATCATTTTGTCATAATTTATTGAGCTTTTGACTTGGACACTTCTCTGTATGTTATGCTGCTACACAAAACTTTTTTTTTAAGGCAGGGTCTCTCACTCTGTCACCTAGGCTGGAGTGCAATGGTGTGATCAAGGTTCAGTGCAGCCTTGACCTCCTGGACTCAAGCAAGCCTCCTGCCTCGGCCACCAGAGTAGATGGGATCACAGACACATGCCACCACACCCGTTTTTTTTTTTTTTAAATAGAGACTGGGTCTCCCTATGTTGCTCAAGCTGGTCTTGAACTCCCAGGCTCAGGTGACTCTCTGACCTTGGTCCCCCAAAATGCTGGTATCACAGGCATAAGCCATTGCCCAGTCTACATACATTTTTTTTAAACTTCTATTCTTTAAATTATTTAACTTTTATGATTATGAAGCCATTCTATTCCAGAATGTTAAGGATAATAACCAGGGAACTCATATTAGGTCTCCTTTGAGGAAGCAATGGATAAACTGTTATTTAATCTTAGTATCAGGAATAGGGTGGCTCTTCTAGCTAGCTGGTCTGTTCTCATCATTTCACGAAGAGAATCTACATTTCAGTGTAGACACTCTGAAATGTTTAAGTGACCAGGTTTTCTTTTGAGCTAAAAGCCTTTGAGCCAAATCTGAGACCCACTTATAGGAAATAGGTATTTTTATGGTATGCATTTTTATAATGGTCTTATTCATGCTTCCATATTATATTCCTACAGTTTTTTTCTTTCCTTTTTCTCCCAAAATTATAGTTTGTCATTTGTAACAGTTGCAAATTTCCTTAATTCTATCTGCAATGAGGAAGGATATTAATAAACAAAAATGCTTTAAAGGTTTTTTTTTCTTTCTTTTTTAAAAAGAAGCAGTTGTTTGGTTTCTACTCTTCAATTTGCACAATTTAGCTTTTAATTTTAACAGTAGAAAATTCTATCCTGTTGATTAATTTTCTTTTCATGTTTGTATAAGGTAAGAGACTCCTTTCTCAGGCCACAGATAAAAAACTGACATTAAAGTTAAACTTCATGTGAATTATTTTCTGGCAGTCCTGATGAGTGAGTTTGTTTGTTTGTTTGTTTGTTTATGGGAGTCCTAGTGTGTCACCTGGAATGCAGTGGTGTGATCTTGGCTCACTGCAACCTCCACCTCACAGGTTCAAGTGATTTTCCTGCCTCAGCCTCCTCAGTAGCTGGGATTACAGGCACACACAACCATGCCTGGCTAATTTTTGTATTTTAGTAGAGACAGGGTTTCACCATGTTGGCCAGGCTGGTCTCAAACTCCTGACCTCAAGTGAACCATCCGCCTTGGCCTCCCAAAGTGCTGGGATTACAGGTGTGGGCCACCATGCCCAGCCAGAATATCATTATTTTTAGTCAAAGCATATGCCAAGGGAAAATTAATGTTTGTTGACTGGTTTTTAGATTAGTTTTAGAGATAAAGTCAATCTATATGTAACTTTCTTGTTTCAGCAACATTAAAGCTTCCTTATCATGAGATGTCAAAATTTTAAAACAGGAGGTTGCTTTATTTTAGTCAGAATTTCCTTTGAGAACACCTTTTGAACATAAATAATTCCTAAGGTTCTCAAAAGAATAAAGACTTCTGGAACACACTTATTTATAACTTGTTCTTTCACACTATGGCTATCCATTTAAAAAGATTATAAGAAATAAATATAAATAGGTAAAGATTATATGTAAGATGCTGAATCCCTCAAATGTTATCATGGCTGAAAATTAATATTTACAGGAATGATCCACCAAATTTCAAAACAAATTAAACTGAGCCACATCTAAGATTTACTGTTTTTGTTTATGCTTTGTTTCTCCTTCATTTAGAATTTACTCTTTGACTGACTACTTCCAGGAGGTATTACCCAAAACACAGACTTTAACTGAAGGGTGTAATACCAGGAAAGGGTAATGTCTAAACTTTTTCCTTTGAGGTTTAAATTCATTTAGTGTTCAAATTAGTTCTTTTTTCTTTCTTTTTCTTCTTTTTAAACAAATGAAGGTTATATTACCCTCTCAAGTCTCATCACTGTGAATAAACATTATTTTATAAATAATGTAAAACAAGAAATACAGCATTTCATTAGTGTTTAGCCAAATATTATCATTAGAATAGAAAATAATAAAGGACAAGAGAATTGACCTAGAGACACATTTACAGCAAGTATCTCTTTAATCAAAACATGTTAGTTTAAATTACTAGTAAAACTGAAAATTTTGTGAGTTGAATCTCACAGATTCAAGGCAGTGCCAGTTTAAAAAGCATTCAGATACTAAGAAATCTGTTAACTGATATTAGGCAAGTATCCTTTTTTGCAATCTCAGTAATACCACCATGAGGGGAAAGAAGACAAGAGTAAAAAGACTTCCCTCTGCACGCAACGGTAAATACCACAAATCTATTCTATAGGTATAAGCGACATTTTAGTTTAGTTGAAGTAACTTTGACATCTATGCAAACTATCAAGAGTTTTTATACCACAATAAAAAAATAAAATATTTGCCAGGAAAATATTAATTGATCATTTTAGGTCATGCTAACGAGGTTAAAAGTAAATAAATCCCCAATATTAGAACAGAAGATCTTGCTAAAAAGAAGATAATCTTCAAAAATATTATTATAACCAATAATTAATAGAAGATATTCAGCATTGAGTCAGTCTTATAACCAGTAATTAAGTGTTGTTACAATACAGAGGAAGGAAGAAAGAAATATGTGAAGATCAAAATTTATCACTTACCTCATGATTCAGCTCTGCTATCTGATCTTTCAGTTCCCTAATATACTGGTTAGAATCAGACTTGTTAAGCTGTCCTTGAAGCTTTCCTTCTTCTTTCTGTTTTGTGGCAAAACAACAAAGCAAAAACAAGAGGCAATTTTTCACAGCATGTACTCAAATATTTCAAGGTATAGGAAAACCACAGGCACGTACTCTTTAGTCAGCTGAATTCTGCACAAATCCATTCTCAAACCACCTCTGACAAACAATTCATAGTAAACTATGTTGAATTTCTTTAAAAATGCTTAATAAAGGTTTACAATAAATATAATTTATAAAATACATCTTTTGAAGGAGTCTCAGAAATAAGTAATTGAATGGGTGTACGGACAAAAAAATTATCATAGAATTTTAAAGCCATTTATCTAGTTATTTTGAGAGGAGATGATTCTCTATTCATATCGTAAGAAATTCAATACTTAAGAAGATGGCAAGCTTCCCACAGCTTCATTGGGAATCTGCTTTTGCTTGGGGAACAGAAAAGGGGAAAAAAAGAAAAAGTTGTCCAAATCACTCTAAAAAGGGGAAGACAGCTTTGAGTCTCCTCTGTTTAATTAGCTCTCAATGTGGATTGGAAGTCTCAGATATAGCTGATGAAAAGCTGCTTCTGATCTTTCGTTTCAGATGAGCGTTGGGACTATTTTCCAGGGATACAGATTGGTAAAGACACAAACTTTTTCTTATACTACCTGAAAACAAATATAAATTATTTTTCACATAAAGAGCTTATTAAACAGTGAAACTACAACTGTTTTTGAGGTCTCCAGATTATTTATAATTAGGAAGCCATGTGTCGATGCTTAAAATGTTAAGCAGCTCTGATCCGCAGGCTTCTACTGAAGCTACTGAGTAACTCCTGATACCAAAAGAATATGGGCTTATTTTAACAGTTGCCAATCACCCAGTTTCCTTGCATGGAGACAACCATTGTTAATAGTTTTCTGGTGTAGTCTTTCCATGATATTTTACATATATATAATTAAACATAAATGAATACATGCACACATATATTTATCCATACTACAGACAGTAAGTATGCTATTCTGTACTTTGCTATTCTCTCTCAATAATACAACTTGGAGATCATGTAATATCAATACATGTAGAACGGAGATCATGTAATATCAATACATGTAGAACAGAAAGATATATATTGACTTTAGAGAGCTTTGAAGTCCCTGTAAAAGTTACCTTAGTACTATCCAAGTATTCATAGGTTTTTTAAAAAGTAAGTTTTAAAATGTGTCTTACAATTACCCTGAGAGTAATGGGTTGCTGTGAAAAGTATTTGTCAATGTGGAGATTCCTCCTATCTTTAAAATTATAGTTAGAAGGGACCTTGAACATCCTCTGGTTTAGTTCTCTGACTGAAGTCAAGTCCACCCTCCACTTTCATCCTACATACTATTCACTAACATCCTCGGCAGGAAGTACCAAATAGAACTGTTCTAGCAATAGGCAGGGCACAGTGGCTCACACCTGTAATCCCAGCACTTTGAGAGGCCAAGGCGGATGAATCACTTAAGGTCACAAGTTCAAGACCAGCCTGGCCAACATGGTGAAACCCTGTCTCTACTAAAAATACAAAAAATTAGCTGGCTGTGGTGGCGTGCACCTGTAATCCCAGCTACTCAGGAGGTGAGGCAGGAGAATCGCTTCAACCTGGGAGGTGGAGGTTGCAGTGAGTCGAGAACATGTCATTGCACTTCAGCCTGGGCAACAAGAGCAAAAATCTGTTCTAAAAAAAGAGTCAAGCATCTTTCCAACAAGACTGCTGTTCTGTGTTAACAGTCTTTCCTACACAAACTGCATCTCTCTTAGTTTGTTCTTCAAATCCTTTCATCAACTTATTCCTATAAACTCCTTGTTTTTTTGTTTGTTTTGCTTTGTTCTCTTTCTTATGGCAATCTGTCTTAAAAACCTTTTACTAGAATATGGCCTGCTGAAGTGGTTTAGTGTAACTAATATTTGCATAGACATAAAAGGCCAACTACAGCTTCTATAGGCTTAAAATTATTTTCTCATGTAGTCATGTTCCACATTATGATGTTTTGGTCAATGACAGAATGAATACATGAAGGCAGTCCCATAAGAGTGTAATAAAAAAATCCTTAATGCCTGGTGATACTGTAGTTGTACAATGTCATGGTAAAACACATTACTCATGTGTTTCTGGTGGTGCTGGAGTGGAGAAATCTACTGTGTTGCCAGTTGTATAAAAGTATAGCATATACAATTTTGTGCAGTACTTGATAATAATGTTACAGATTTATGTTTTTAATATACTATACTTTTATTATTTTAGTATACTCTTTTTACTTATACAAGAAAAATTAACTGTAAGCCTCGGCCAATTAGCCAGGTCCTCCAAGAGATATTCCAGAAGAAAGCAGTGTTCTCATAGGAGATGACAGCCAAATGTGTGTTACTGCCCTTGAAGACCTTCCAGTGGGACAAGATGTAGAGGTAGAAGACAATGATATTGATGACCCTGACCCTATATAAGTCTAGGATAATGTGTGTGCTTGTGCCTTTGTGTTTTTGTTTGTTTGTTTGTTTTGAGACAGAGTCCCCCTCTGTCCAGGCTGGAGTGCAGTGGCACAATCTTGGCTGACTGCAACCTCCACTTCCCAAGTTCAAGCAGCCTCCTAAGTAGCTGAGATTACAGGTGCATGCTACCATGCCTGGCTAATTTTTGTATTTTTAGTAGAGATGGGGTTTCATCACATTGGCCAGGCTGGTCATCTTGAACTCCTGGCCTCAAGTAATCTGCCTGCCTTGGCCTCCCAAAGTGCTGGGATTATAGGCGTGAGCCATTGTGCCTGGCCATATGTCTAAGCTTTTAATAAAACGGTTTAAAGAGTTAAAAATAGCTTATAAAGATATAAAGAAGATATTTTTGTACAGCTGTACAATATATTTGTATTTTAAACTAAGTGTTATTACAAAAGAGTCAAAAAGTTAAAAAAATTGTTTAAAAAGTAAAAAAGTTACAGTAAGCTAAGGTTAATTCATTATTGAAGAAGTAAAAATTAAGAAAATAAATTTATAGATTAACTGTACTGTGTTTATGAAGTCTACAGCAGTGTGCAGTAATATCCTAGGTCTTCATATTCACTCACTGACTCACCCAAAGCAACTTTCAGTCCTTCAAGTTCCATTCACCATACCATGATCCACACAGGTGTACCATTTTAAATCTTTTATATTTTTATTGTACCTCTTCTATGTTTAGATACACAAATTCTGACCACTGTGTTACAACTGCCTACAGCATTCAGTAGAGTAACAAGTTATATAGGTTTGTAGCCTAGGAACAAGAGGCTACACCATATAGTCCACGTGTGTAGAGGGCTATACCATCTGGGTTTGTGTAAGTACACTCTATGATGTTCACACAATGATGAAACTGCCTAAGGATGAATTTCTCAGAACATATTCTAGTTGTTAAGCAATGTATAACTGTATATTTACACATACTAATATCAGATACAGTTATCTAAGCCAAAACTGTCTTATTTAACCATTACTATATTCCAAATATGCTAGGCTTGTAAAATATATACAAAATACACCTTATGCTTTTTAGCCAAAAGCCCGTATTTAGGAAAAATATATATTCTTCTTTTAAAAATTTAGTTAGAGGCCAGGCGCAGTGGCTCACACCTGTAATCCAAGCACTTTGGAGGCCAAGGTGGGTGGATCACCTGAGGCCGAGAGTTCAAGACCAGCCTGACCAACATGGTGAAACTCTGTCTTTAAAAAAAAAAAAGAAAGAAAGAAAATTTAGTTAGAAATATTAGTTCCACTCAACTGCCACAGAAAAGGCTGAACTAACAGAATAGCAGAGATACTAAGTCAGAGTCCTTATCACATCATCTCTGAGGCCTTCCCTGTTTTCTCATTTACATGGAACAATAAAGTCCCTTTATTATTTAAACCAGTCTAAATATAAATTTCTGGCTGGGCATGGTGGCTTATCCCTGTAATCCTAGCACTTTCAGAGGCTGAGGTGGGAAGACTGCTTGAGCACAGGAGTTCAAAACCAGCTTGGGCAACATGGCAAGACCCTGTCTCCACAAAAAAATTTTTAAAAATTAGCTCGGCATGGTGATGGGCACCTGTGGTCCCAGCTACCAGGGAGGGTAATGTGAAAGGACTGCTTGAGTCTGTGAGGTTGAGGCTGTAGTAAGTTGTGTTCACGTCACTGCACTCCAGACTGGGAGGCAGAGTGAGAACCTGTCTCAAAAAAAAAAAGAAAAAGAAATACAAACTTTTGCCACTTGCAACCAAATAGCTATTACATATTGAACACTTAAAACACAAGCCCTTCTCATTTGAGATTCCCAAAGGATTAAGTCCTAATGTCTAAAGCATCGTTGTATGTGTACGATCTATGCATCTAGAGTAGTACCATGTACCATCACTGGAAGAAGTGAGAAAATACAGTTGACCCTTAATATGGGTTTGAGCTGTGCAGGTCCACAAATAGATGGACTTCTGTCGGCCTCTGCCACCTTGAGACAGCAAGACAACCCCTTCTCTTCCTCCTCCTCCTCCTCAGCCTACTCAACATGAAGATAAAAATGAAGACCACTGCCATGATCCACTTCCATTTAATGGAACAATAAATACATTTTCTTTTCCTTATGATTTTCTTAACAACCTTTCTTGTAGCTTACTTTAAGAACACACTGTGTAATGCATGTAACATACAAAATGTATTAATTAACTGTTTATCAATAAGGCTCCTAGTCAAAAGTAGGCTCTTAGTAGTTTAGTTTTGGGGGAGTCTAAAGTTATACATAGATTTTCCAACGTGCAGGGATCAGCACCCTTAATCCCCATGTTGTTCAAGAGTCAGTGTAGTTTACTCAAACCATTTCTGTAGAGTTTAATTCTCTTGCGGAGCTCTCATGGAGAAATATTGGCACTTATAATGTGCCAGGAATTTGTTATGCTTGCTTATGTGTAATCATCACAACAACACTGTGTGACAGGTAATATTATTCCTACTTCATGAGTGAATCGGTTGCCTAAGAGTCAAAGAGATGGTT